TGCTGCTGCTGCTGCTGCTGCTGCTGCATTTGTTTCGATTTCCTTTTCTTCTTCCTCGAAGTCCTCGGGCAACGCCGGCTGCGCCAAAATGTGACAGCCCATCGACGGCCTGGGCACCTGAACAGCAGCAGCAGCAGCAGCAGCAGCAGCAGCAGCAGCAATAGCAGCAGCAACAGCAGCAGCAGCAGCAGCAGCAGCAGCAGCAGCAGCAGAGTGCAAAGCAAAGCAGCAAAAGTCCAACTGCATGAAAAAACAAAACTCAAAATAAACAAACCGACAAAACAACTCCGCAAATTACGCAAATCAAACGAAGCAACCAAACAACAAACAACCAAATCCAATCCAACTAAACCCCATTAAATAAACAATTAAATAAACAATTAAATAAACAATTAAATAAATAAATAAATAAATAAATAAATAAATAAATAAATAAATAAATAAATAAATAAAGGGCGCACTTTGTAGCGGTGCCACCTGGGGTCGTTCCAGCCAAAGCCGACGGCGGGGTTTGGAGTGACGCAAAAACAAACTTCCGCCTCGTAGACTGCAGAGGACTTGTCTTCGCTCTGAGACCGGAAATTAAATTAATTAAATTAATTTAATTAATTAATTAATTAATTAATTAATTAAATCAATTAAATTAAATTAAATTAAATTAAATTAATTAAATGAATTAATTGAATTAAGCTGAATTGAAGGAAGAGAATGAACTGCGCTGCGCTGTTCCTGCATCGAAAGAACCCACCCCACCCCCACCCCCAAACCCTAGCCCCTAAACCCTAAACCCTAAACCCTAAACCCTAATTTAGGGTCTGGCCTGCTGGTTGGCGCGGAGCATCCACATGGTTTCCTTGACAGTAAGTGGGTCGTTTCTCCAGTCCAAGTCGAGTCTGCATTGCTTTCGCCAGAGTCTTCTGAAGGCGGAGGCCACGCGGGCCCACTCTTCTCTGGAAAGAGCTCCGCCCAAATTCGAAAAAAAAAAGAAGTCCGAAAGTCTCCGCAGCAACGGGTGAGCTGTTCGCGCCGAAGGCGCCGTCTGTCTGTACACCTGAGGGGTCGCAGCAAGCTGTGGGGAGTTTTTGGTTTGGATTATTTTTTCTTTTTCGAATTTTCTTTTTTCTCTTTTTTCGCGTTTTTAGCTCTTGTTTTTGCGCAGTTTCGCTTTTTTGAACAGAGAAAAAGATATTTGGAGGCTTGTTTGTTGGATTGGAGTTAAGTGGATTATTAATTCTATTTGAAATTAAAATTAAATTAAAATTAAATTAAAATTAAAATTAAATTAAAATTAAATTTAAATTAAATTAAATTAAAATTAAATTAAAGTTTGTTTTTGAAGAGGGAGTTACTTCGAAGCCGAAGACGTCTTCGAGTTCGACGGAAGGCGGCGAAGAGCCGAAGATGGAAAAGGGATTCCACTTTCTTTGCTTTTCAATTCGCCGCCGAAGGATTTCCTTCTTGCTCAACTTGCTGCTGCTGCTGCTGCTGCTGCTGCTGCTGCTGCTGTCGGCTGCAGCGGCGTCGCTTTCGTCGCTGTCCAGCTCGAAGCACCAGGGCGCTTCTCTTATGTCCAGGAAGGGACGGTACACTCCGCCTTGCTGCAGCAGCAACAGCAGCAGCAGCAGCAACAGCAGCAACAGCAGCAGCAGCAGCAGCAGCAGTTAATTGAACTGCTCTGGCACCAGTTGCTGCTTCCTGCTGCTCCACGTTTTGCGGCTCCGCCAAGGAGGGACTCTTTCCAGAAACCGAGTCATTATTGACTAAATTAATTAACTGATCAATTCGTTAATTTAATCAAATAAACAAATAAATAAATAAATAAACCAATTAATTAATTAAATTAATTAATTAACTAATTAATTAATTAACTAATTAATTAATTAAATTAATTAATTAATTAATTAATTCAATTTAATTAATTAATTAATTTACACTTGGAATTTCTGCAATGAGTTTGTCGACCATGAAGTGATCGCCGCGTCTTTTCGCGCCCTCCGTTTTGGGGCCCAAATACTTTTGCAAAACTACAGAGCCTTCCATCAGCTGCGAACAAACAAATGGCACTTCTTTGTTATTTAGTTCCATTTAATTCCATTTATTAATTCCATTTATTAATTCCATTTAATTCCATTTCTTAATTGCATTTAATTCCATTAATTAGTTGCATTTAATTGCATTTGATTGCACTAATTCATTGCATTTTATTCCATTAATTAATTGCACTTAGTTCCATAGTTGCATTTAATTCCATCAATTAATTGCATTTAATTGCATTTAATTCCATTAATTAATTGCATTTAATTCCATTAATTAATTGCATTTAATTAATTAATTAATTAATTAATTAATTAATTAATTAATTACTGCTTCGAATTGTTCACTCGCATTTACTTTTACTTTAATCCTATTTAATTGCAATTGTTTGACTGCAAATGTTTAATGGCAAGCAGTGGCTGGAAACAAAGAAAGAGTTTCGAATTTGAAATAAACAATTTGAAATAAATGAATAAATAATTGGAAGTAAATAAATAAATAAATGGAAATAAAGAAATAAATAATTTGAAATAAAGAAACAATTTGAAATAAAGAAATAAATATTTTGAAATAGAGAAATAAATAAATAGAAACAAATAGATAAATAGAAACAAATAGATAAATAAATAGAAATAAATTAATTAATTAATTAATTAATTAATTAATTAATTAATTAATTAATTAATTAATTAATTAATAAAAATGAAATTCACTTCTTCGTCTTCGAGGAGCGGAAAGATGTCGTCGGAGTGTCTGGACATCGCGGCGGCGCGGACGATGAAAAGTCCGAAGTCGAATTGGGGCGTCGGCTGCGGAAGGGGTTTGAGGACTTTGTGGTGGAAAAAGTTGGAAGTTGGGTTTAAATTGGAGTTTAAATTGGAGTTTAAATTGGATTTTAAATGCAAATTGGAGTTCAAATTCGAGTTTAATTGCAAATTTAAACTCAAATTCGACTTTAATTCCAAACTTTCCTCCGAATTGGCGTTCAAAGCGACTTTTTCGCCGCCCTGGGGTGTACGTACACCCCCCGCTTGGGGTGTACGTACACCCGCCGCTTGGGGTGTACGTACACCGCAAGGCGGCGCGCGCGCGCACTGCCGGCTTTCGGAAATCGGAGAAGAAGAAGTCATTTCATTTTTGTTGGATTTTTGAGAGTTTGGAAAGGCAAAAGGAGTTTTTGTTTCTTCTTTTTGGACTTCTCCGCAAAAGCAGTTTTCCTCGCCTTCGGAAATTTCCGCAATTTCCACACAAGAGGAAACTCCAGCGGCTTTTCTTTCTTCCTTTTCCTCTTCGACTCTCCGCACTTTTCTTTGCGGCTTTTTCTGCAATTAAATAAAAACAAAGTCCATTTAAACTCCTTTTAATGCAGTATTCAAATCTCAAAAATAAATTTAAACTTCTTTTCATTGTAACTCGGAAGGCCAGAAGTCGATCGGTGTATGTACACCCCAGAGTGCACTGCATGCGGAGTTTCAACTCTGTCGTTCATTTGAAATTAATTATATTTTAAATTTATAATTTAAAATTAATTATATTTTAAATTTATAATATGCTATAAAGGGTTTTAATTCTTGTTTTGAATTAATGAAAAGAAGAACATTTTAATTCTATAAAATGCCACAAAGGGTTTTAATAATTGTTTTTAAATAAATAAAAAAATAATTATTAAAAGGCCTTCACCTCTTTTCGCTTTTTTTCTTCGCCCAACTCCGAACTTCCTTTTCTTTTGCTGTCGCCTGTCTTCAGTGGCGAGAGGCCTCCCCTCTCAACACTATCTGCTGCTGCTGCTGCTGCTGCTGCTGCTGCTGCTGCTGCTGCTGCTGCTGTTTTTGCGCCTGCTGCTGCTCGCGTGTCTTTTGTCTGTTTTCTGTTTTTCGCTTCTCTCGCTGCTGCGTCTTCTTCTTGTCTCCTTTTCCTGCAGCCATAAGTTGCTGCTGCTGCTGCTGCTGCTGCTGCTGCCCTGGAGAGGTTCGCACGCCCTGCTGCTGCTGCTGCTGCAGCAGCAGCAGCAGCAGGCGGGTGCAGCCGGGGGCTTCGCCGGGTGAGGGCAGCAGCAGCAGACTTGTTGAAATTTGTTTTATCTTTTTGTTTGCTTTTCGAAGAGTCCACAAAAGAGCCGCAAACTCGCTTGCACGGAGTTGCAGGCCGCGGGGACCCCTCCTCAGCCGCCCTGCTGCTGCTGCTGCTGCTGCTGCTGCTGCTGCTGCTGCTGCTGCTGCTGCTGTCTTTGGCGGAGCTGCCTTTAGGAGAGAAAGGCAGGAGAGTCTCGTCGTTGGGGCGGGGGAGGGGCTGCATGCGTTCGGGTGTACGCGCAGCTTGCATGCGTTCGGGTGTACGTACACCGCGCGGCTCGGCTGCAGCGGGCGCCACGAGAGCAGCAGAAAGCGAAAGCGAAGAAGACGGCGCAGCAGTGGAGGCTGAGGAGGGCCTGGGGGGCGTTTCGGACTTGCAATTGGGAGAAGAAAGGGCATTTTGTTTGCAAATTTGCAAAAAAATGTCGGAAATGGCATTTAAATCCTCTTCTTCCATCAAAGACTTCAAGTTTCGCAGCGAACTCGACACGCAAGACAGCAGCGGGCTGCTGCTTGCGCCCGAAACCCCGGCGCAGCGCCGCGGCTTCCCCGCGTCTTCTGGCCCTTCTTCCGGCCTCATTTGCCTCCAAAACTCCTTCAATGCTTTAAAAACTCCATAATTTCCGATTAAAAGAATCAAAAACGCAAAAAGGACCTCCGGAAACCCCAGATCGGCTCCGCAGCTTCCCGTGATCTGCACATGCCGCCGGGGTGTCTGCGCTCCGCCGCGAGGTCCCGCGGAGGAAAGCCGCGGCAAAAAGTTCGGAAAACTTCCGATGTTGCAAACTATTCACTTTTTTTTCGAATTCTCCGGAAAAAAGTGCCCAAAGCGCCCGGAAGAGCCGCAAGTGGGGGCCCCTGGGGGGTGTTTGGCGGCTGGGTCGGTGGAACCCCGCGATCCTGCCTCGCACAGTCCGCAGCGCCAAAACTGGCCGCAAATTCAATTCCGTTCGAATTAATTTGAGCCAATTAAGAGCCAATTAAGCCGTTCAAGTTCGCCCAAGTGCGCTCTCCGCGCGAGTCTTCAGTGCGCAGCACCAAACGCCGCGGAGCCTATTTCGCAGCAGCACCCACCTGCATGCAGCTAAACGCGCTGTTTTCCGAATCCAAGTCGAAAATTCAAACAAATATTCATTTTAATAGTCCTTTTAAACCCAATTTTGTCCATTTCTTCCGCTTTTTCTCGAAAATCGGCGCAAGCAGTCTGCGCGCTGCCTCCAGAACACCAGAGAACTTGAATTCGAATTTCCGCTGTTCTCTTCCTTGCAGCAGTCTCAAGAAAGAACCAGCCTGCTAAATTTCCAAAATAATTTATATTTTTATATATAAATATAAATTATTTATAATATTTATTTATATATAAATATATTTACCTGCAGATCTGCCAAATTCCCGCAAAGAACGCTGTGTGCTGCACGCGGGTCATTGCCAAGTCCGCATTGCATGTTTTGGCCCTGCGCGTCTTGTGCTGAAAATGAGATCTTTCAAAGTCTGCTGTTGCCATTAATGCATACAGCAGCAGCAAATCGCATGCAGCAGCAGCAAAACGCATGCAGCAGCAGCAAAACGCATGCAGCAGCAGCAAAACGCATGCAGCAGCAGCAAAACGCGTGCAGCAGCAGCAAAACGCATGCAGCAGCAGCAAAATGCGTGCAGCAGCAGCAAAAGGGGGAAGTTCCCGCGAGTTTGGCACCAAGTCTTGCAAGGCGTGCAGCTTACTTTGCACAAGAATATGAATTGAAGTCTATATCTGCATTTAAATGCAGAAAGAAACTCTAAATATATTTTTGAACTTCAAATTTAAAACATTTAAACCAAAAGAAGAGCCAAAAGGTTTTATTCAAGTTCCCGAAGTGCAGCGCAGAAAGCAGCCAGCCGCTGCATTCCGAAGAGCCAAACCCTCGTTTCTCCGCAAACCCTAATTTAGGGTTTGGCAAGAGTTCCCCTGCAGAAACAAAAACTCAACAAATAAACATTTAATATCCTTTCCCAGCTTTCTTGCTTCTCAGAAAGCGTAATGCAAACTTTTGCATTTAATTTAATTCGAGTTTTGAATTCAATCTTTTGCAAACATGACGCGAATTTGAAACTTCAGCCTCAGCTCTGAATCATTTGCGAAATATGAAAGAATTTATTATTTTATTTTTTAAAAGTTTTATTTTTCTTTTTTGTTCTTTTTCCATTATTGGGAACTCAAAAGAAAGCCGTTTGAGTTCCGAAGATTTGCTTTCCATTGGAATCTTGCAAATGAATTGTTTTGAGGTGAATTCTTTTGACTTCTTGCGGGGAAATTTGTTTTAAATTGAAGTCTTTTAATTTGTTTGCAATTTATTGAAGAGTTTTGCTCAAGTGGGAAATGAAATTCAAAAAGTTGAACTGAACAGCAGCAGCAGCAGCAGCAGCAGCAGCAGCAGCAGCAGCAAGCTTTCTTGAACTTGAATTTCCAGCCTTTAGCGACGCGCTTTCCCCATTTGGCTGTCTCGCCTTTTCTTTTTCCAAATTTGAAATTTGTTTTATTTATAACTTTCTTAATTTTAAATCTTTTTCAATTTTGCTTCGCTGAAGCCTCCACGCTTCCCTCTTGAGGCCTCTTGACTGGTTCCTGAACACCAGCCACGGCCCGCGAGACCTCCCCGAGTTCCATTTGACCTTCTAAATCCTTTTTTGACTTCTTTTCAAACTTTTCTGAGATCATAAATGCGTTTATAGACTTTATTTGGGCAGTGTCGCGAGAGATAGTGGGCCGGAGCTCCCGCAAGCCGGAAACTTGAACTCCGCACACACTCGGGAGTTCAAGTTTTGCTGCTCGGACCCTTGCAGGTTGGAGCTAATGAGAAGATCCAGAGGCCTCTGGCTTTGATTTAAAACTATTTTTAAAGTGTTGCAAATAAGTAATAATATGAGAGCAGCTGGATTCAGTGTAGTTGAAGGCTCATGCGCTGCATGGCAACAGAAGGAGCAGTCCAGCCTCCCCCAGCCCTCGGCATCTTTCCTTTTCCTCCATATTTAATTTGAATTAATTGAAAACGTGAAATATATTAATAAGCGACGCTTTTAACTCCAAACAAAGCGAGGAAGCAGTGGTTTGTAGTCCCGGAGCGACAGCTGCCGGGGCTCTGTGGCAACGGTCCCACAGCCACAAAGGGGCAATCCGCAGGGGCTGCAGCAGGAAGGCATTAAATGGTTTTTCTTTGAATTTGGAGTTAATTATTTCGTTAATACTTTCCCAATTTACTGCAATTTTCGGCTTTTCGGATCGCATTGCGCCTCAGTCGCTGCTCTCCGGAGCTGGGATTCTGCGATCCAGCAGTCGTCCGGCGCATCGAGATCGGCGAAGCAAGCTTAATCTGACGAGCCCTTTGAATTTCAACTTTTTATTTGAATTTAATTTAAGTTTTTCTTCATCTTAAGGCAAACAATGGGGCGAGAGCAAGTGGCGTTCCCCGAGGACGCCGCCGCTGGCGCTGCCGTTGCCGCTGCTGCTGCTGCTGCTGCTGCTGCTGCTGCTGCTGATCCTGAGCCTCCGGCCCTCCAAGTGGAAGCAGCGAGCAGCAGCAGCAGAGCCAAGGCGGAGGAGGAAGCAGTTCTTGGCTTTTATCCTTTTCGAAGGCCTCTTCGCTCCGCAAAGGCGAAGTTCCCGCGGGTGGCGCAGCTGAACCTGCTGCTGGTCTTGCCGGTGCTGCTGGCCGCGCTGCTGGCGCTGTGGCGGCTAGCAGCCTCCGTGCGGGGCGCCCCCGCCGCCGCAGCAGCAGCAGCAGCAGCAGCAGCAGCAGAGCCCGAGCTGCTGCAGCCAGCTGCGCAAAGCCCCCCAGAACTGGGACTCCAGCTGGACCCCGACAGCCTCAGCAGCTACGAACAGCAGTACCTCAAAAGCGCTGCGGACTTCTCCAGAATTTGGAATTCAACTTCGCTCGCAGTGCGGAAGGGCTTTGCTGCGCACTTCACGCCGCGGGGCCCGGGCGAAGAGCCCAAGGGGCCGGGCTCGCACTTGTACAACGAAAACGTGCGCGAAATGGAGGAGTTCATGCAGCTTTCTCCGCCGGAAAAAGCGGATCGCCGCAAAGCTTACGCGCTGCACTTGATTGCGCTGACTGCTGCGTTCAAAGGAGCGGCAGAGTGCCTCGAAATGCTCAAAAAAATGGAAAAAATCCACCAAGAAACCCTCGCGCCGGTGCCGCTGCTGGGCATTCAAGAAGGCGTGCAACTCCCCGCCGCGGGGGCCCTCGAGCACTTCGCGGGGCCCCTCGCGAGCGAAAAAGAACTTCTCGAAATAATGCCTGGCAGCTTTGAACCCGGGGAAGAGAAAAAAGTGCCGCAGCAGCTGCTGCAGCGCGTGCAGGGTTTGCTGCAGCTCGAGCAGGTGGAGCAGCAGGGCTTCCACGCCATTCACGAACAGTTCAAGCCGCTTCTGAGGGCCCTCGGGTTCACTTCGCATCATTTGACCTTCTTGGACTTCCAAAAAATGGAGTCTTTTTGGTTTCCTTATCCCCGAAACGTCTTCAACAGCGGGCGCTTCTTCATGGAGTACCAGAGGCGAGCTGAACAGACAGACGAGCCCGAGAAGCGCTACCAGGAAACTCTTCACTCCATTTCCCACTCCTGGAAAGATGCAAAAGAGCTTTTAAAAGTCATTGAAACGATGCAAAACAACGCAGAGAGGGCGGTGGCCGCGGCGCTCCGCTGGAAGTGCCTCTTCGCCTTCGAGATCGAAGAACAGCAGGGGCTCATCAACTTCGCCGATCCCATGCTTTTGGGGGTCTTTTTGCTTTGAAATTGCGGAAATAAACACTAAAAAGGGGAATAGATTCTTTAAAAGAGCCCGAGAGCCCAAGTGCTGCAGCGGGCAGCCAGTTTCCGCGGCTCTGTTCAAGTTCTTGCACAGGCTTGAGTTGAGGTCCTTCGGGCTGATCCGGGACTATTAGAAGCGCAGAGCCGCTGCATTTAATTCATTTTCTGTTTTAATTCGCCTCAGTGCAGATTTAAGGACAAAGGAAGTCAAAATAAGTCTCTTTCCCGAAACTTGAATTCGAGCCCAGGAGCTCCGCCAGGCGCCTGCGCCCCCCCGCCTCTTCTGCCCTTCTTCACCTGCAGTTAGCCTCTAAAATGGCATTTTAATTCCCACTTTGTTTATTCTTAGACGCTAAAGAAAGAAAAATGGCATTTTAACTTCCATTTTGCTCATTTTTTTCCTTCTTTTGAACCCATTGGCCAGCAGTGCAGTGCGAGCCAAAGGGCCAAGGCTTGAGGGGCCAGTTCTTGCGGCGTTTGGACTTGAAGTTTCTGTTTTTCTTTTTGCTCCATTTTGGAGAATTCAAAAGACCATTTGGAGCTTTCTGCACTCTTTCAAGTCCCATTAAAGCAACTGGAAAGGCCGGAAGGCTTAGATGGAGAAAGTGCGCAAAAAGTTCACTTGTATAGCCGCAGCTGCTGCAGCTGCTGCTGCAGGAGCTGCTGCAGCAGCAGCTGCTGCAGCAGCAGCTGCTCCTGCTGCAGCTGCCAGCTCTGGGTAGTGACTAGTTAGCTCAAGGTAGCTGCAGTGGGCTCAAGCTGGCTAGCTGTTCACAGCTAGCTAGCTAGCTAGCTGTCTACCGCTAGCTAGCTAGCCGTGCACAGCTAGCTAGCTGGCTACAGCTAGCTGGCTAGTTATCTACAGCTAGCTAGCTAGCTGCCCTTTGGTAGCGGCAGCTGCCTGCAGCTGGTTACAACTGCTTGCAATGGATCTTGCTGAGGTTTTGCTCTGTTGTAATAGAAGCTTTTAGTTGTCAGTAGGCCTCCACGAAGAAGTAAAAACAAATAATATAAAGTAAAAGAGTTTAATTATTAAATGGATGAATTAAAATTTAGAAACGTGCAACAGGAAGGTGCGGAAAGCTTGACAGCCAGTTGTGCAAGTTGTAAGGGGGGAAAGCTGTAAAGAGGAAAGCTTCATCCCGCTGGCCAGCCAAGGAGTTCAAACTAATCTTAATGATAAAGATTAATAAAATGAATTTTAAATTGATTGAATTTAGTGGAAAATTGAATTTCAGAATGCGTGGAGCTGAGTCTCGAGAGTTGGGCAGCTCCAGTGGTCCAGAGTCGATGTTACTTCGTGCATTTCTTCTCTCTTTTTGGCGTTTTGAATATTTTTTTCAAATTAAAAACTTTTATATTCGATAAAACTAATTGGAGATAATTAATCGGAGGGATTTGGGCATTTTCCGAGGCGAGACGCTGGGCATGCCACTCCCCACCGACTGCAAAGCGCTTCATCCTGCGACTTCCGCGCCTCGACACAACGCGGTAATTGCTGCGGAAATTGAAAGACCCAGTGCGAAAATAGCAATTAATTGCGAAATAGAGTTCATTTTGATGTCTTTTTTGTGTTTTCTGGACGAGCTACACACAGAGTTGTTGGGGCTCCGTGGTGGAAGGGTTGGCGCACACGCGGCCGGCGCAGCAGCACTGAAACGCGGCGAACTCGCGCCTGTTTGCCGTTTGAGTTCTTTTATTTATTTGTTTTGCATTTATTTAGATCTGAAGTTCTTGAAAAGAAAGGCGGACAGCTCTTTTGGCGGTAGATCGCCCCCGCAGCGCAGCAGCTTGGCAGTGGCGGTGTGCGCATGTCTGCCGTTTCTGCGCCTTTCGCAGAACTCTGCTGGAAAGTGAAAGTTAATTAAAATAAAAAGAAATAAAAAAGAAAATAAAGAAAACTTTCCAGAGTTCAAGTTCCAGCGAGCTCGAGACAGATTGGCGGAGCTGGGGGCCAGGGAGTTTCGAAAGACACAGTTCAACTTTTCGGGTTTTGTTTCAAGTCCAAAAAGCTGCAAACAAATCCATTTCTCGTTCTTTTTTTGCATTTCTTTTCGATTTTTTCTTCGCCAGGCTTTGTGGGGCTCCTGGGGCTCCAAAGGGCTTTGGAAAAAGGCTAAAATGAATTACAATTCATTTATTTCAACAAAAAGAATTTAATTCCAAACTCCCAGTTCAACAAATGACGCAAATAATCCCCCTTTCCCTCTTTTGCCTCCTCGGCTCTCTTCTCTTCGTTCCCCCGGCCTCTTCTTGGTGCGATGAGGTAATTCAAATTCAATTTGTTTCATTTTTGATTTAATTTCCTTTTAATTTCTTTTTAATTTCTTTTTAATTCCTTTTTCTTTTTTATTTCCGGATTCTTCTCTTTGTTTCCGCATTATTTCGCAAGAGAACGCGCGCAGATGATTTTCTCATTCTGTGCCTTCTTGAAATTCCGAATTTCAATTTATTTTTTCCTTTTTAATTGCTTCCCATTTCTTTTTCTATTCTGTATTTTTATTTTTAAATTTGTTTTATATTTCTTTTTATATTTTTTGTTTTCGTTTTTTGATTTCTTTTCCATTTCTTTTCTTTTGAGTTTCTTCATTTCCGACACAGCCGGGGCTTTGCATTTCTTTTGAACTTTTGCGTCTTTTCGATTTCTTTCATTTGCGTCTTTTTCTTTATTTCATTTTAATTTATTTTTCATTTTTTTCTTTTAATTGAGTTGTTAATTTTTCGTCTTCCGTTTCTTTTTTGTCTTTTCGATTTCTTTCATTTGCGTCTTTTTCTTTATTTCATTTCAATTTATTTTTAATACTTTTTCGTCTTTTTCTTTTAATTATTATTTTTCTGTTTTCTGTTTCTTTTTTGTATTTCGATTTTCCCTTCTGCTGCTGCTCTTGGCTGCCAATTTGCATCGTTTTCTTTCCATTTTATTCCAGTTTTGTTCTTTATTTTGCACTTTTGGAATTAATTTGAAATTAATTTGAAATTAATTCGAAATTAATTCGAAACTAATTTGAAATTAATTTGAAATTAATTTGAAATTTAATTTAAAATATTTTATTTGCTTTGATTTGCTGCTTCGGCGAACGCTGCAGCTTTCGTTGAAACTGCGCAAAATGTTTCGAAACTTTCGCAATTTCTTTCTTTTTTCTTCTTTTTTCTTTTTTTTATTTAATTTTAATTTAATTTAATTTAATTTAATTTAATTTTAAATTCATTTTAATTCTTTTTATTTCTTTTATTTCCTCTTCAGGGCCACATGCTGGTCGCTGCCATTGCCAAGTTGGTTCTGCCCCCGGAGCTCACCACAAGGATTGAACATGCTTTGTCCAAATGGAACGAAGAATATCCAGGTAACAAATAATTAAATTAAATTAAATTAATTAAATTAAATTAATTTAATTAGTTCAATTTAATTTAATCTAATTGATTAAATTAAATTAATTTAATTAGTTTTAATTTAATTTAATTTAATTAAAAACAGGAGAGCCTGAGCAATCAGCTGCATCTCTGTATGTATCTGTATATAATATTATATTAAGTATGGGCATATATAGATATATATATTGATATATATATGTATAAATATGCATATTTATCTTTATTAAATGCATTAATAAGTTTATTTATTTGCCTCTATAAGTCCATTAATAAATATATATTTTGTCTTCATTGAATGCATATATCTTCAGTGGACTTGTGATTTAATTTTGTTTTTAAATTTTTTTTATTTATTTTTTTCGTTTTAGCTGCCGCCCGTTGTGTTGCTCTGGCAGTGCAAATAAATTGTTTTGTCATTTAAATTCTCCTTTTAATGATTTATTTCAACTAATTATTTTTTTATTTATTTAATTATTTATTTAATTCGTTTAATTATTTATTTTAATTTTATTTTTTAAATTCAGGAACTGGAGAGATCGACACTGCGGCTGCTTGGCTCGACCATCTTTCCTGCAAGAACCCCAGCCCCTACTGCTCTGGCTTTAAGGCGCAAGACGACATTCAAGTGACGAAAATGCGAATTTAAATGTTTTAAAAAATAAAAAACAAATAAAAATAATTTATAAATCATTTAAATGCAAAATAAACGCAGTTGGCCGCTCAATTGGCCCGAGATCCTGAACAGCGAGCCCGCCGTTTCCTCTTTTCCTCTTCCAGGTTTTCCGCCCCTGGCATTACAGCACTCGCGTTTTGAATCCCCAAAATATCAAATTAAAAGACTTGTACAACTATTTCCCTTTGCCTGGAACAGGTGGGTCTCGAGTTTCCGGCTTTTTCGAGTTTCTTGAATTTCCTCAGTTCGGGGTGTACGTACACCCCAACGAACGCCCGCGCAGCCCTCCGCCGCCCGCGGCGATCCGACACTTTATGAACTCCTGAGCAGCAAAACTGCTGCTGAAAGTGCAGCAGATGTTTCCTTTTTGCTGCAGGAGCTGAGTGGGCTTTGGAAACTGTTTACCGGAGCCTCAAAGAAGACCAAAGTGAGCCAACTTCGTTTTCCTTCGCCGGCCAAATCCAACCAAATTACTCTTTTGCTAATTCCCCCGCCCCGCCTCTGGCTGCTGCCAGTCCTTTTCCCGCTGCAGTGGACTCCAGTCCGCAGCAGCAGCAGCAGCAGCAGCAGCAGCAGCAGCCACAGCTGACAGCGCCGCAGCAGCCACTGCAGCAAGAGCCACAGCAACAACCACAGCAACCCCAGCAGCAGCAGCAGCAACCCCAGCAGCAGCAGCACCAGCCCCAGCAGCAGCAGCCCCAGCAGCAGCAGCAGCAGCAGCAGCAGCAGCAGCAGCAGGAGCAGCAAGTTCGCGTTTCGTGGTTTTCTCTGAACTTGCACTTGCGGCTGCTGCTGCACATCTTCGGAGATATCCACCAGCCAATGCATGCGGGGAGTCTGTACACCCGGGACTTCCCTGACGGCGACGAGGGGGGAAACTTGGCAAGTTGAATTTCAGTTTATTTTTCTCGTTTTGAACTCCTTTTTTCGGAATTTGAGTCCCCTAAAGCTCGCGGAGAAGAAGAAACTCTCGAAAACTCTTTTTATTTTCTTTTTCTTTTCCAAAAATGCCCTTTTTGTCCTGCAGATTCCCGTGCATCTCCCCGAACACCCCCACATCGCAAACCTGCACCAACTCTGGGACTCCGCCGGCGCCGTTTTCAAAAAGCCCTTTCACAGATTCTCTTGGGAAGAAATTCAAAAAGCGGTAAATCAAAATAAATAAAATTAAATAAAATTAAATGAAATTAAATGCAATTAAATGAAATTAAATGAAATTAAATGAAATTAAATGCAAATTAAATCCACTTCCGAGGCCTCAGGCCACGCAGAAGCAGCAGCAAACGCGGGAAATAAATTCAAAAATTAAAATGCAAAAAAAAATTTGAAAAAAATCTGCTGCGGAGCTGCAGCGGGGCTGCGGTGTACGTACACCCGGGAAAGCAGCAGCTGCAGCAGCTCTTTTCTGGAGTTCATTTAATTTCTTTTTTTCTTTTTTTTCAGGCTAAAGATATCATTGCGGAGTTCCCGAGAGAAAGTTTGTTAAATAGACTTTCTGGAGAACTTGCGGGAACAAACTTCAAAGCAATTGCTGAAGAAGGATCCCAAATAGCCCTTACTGTGGGCTACAAAGGTTCGCAGGCAAAAGCTGCTGCTGCTGCTGCCTTGCTGCTGCTGCTGCTGCTGCCTCGCTGCTGCTGCTGCTGCTGCTGCTGCTGCTGGCTGCAGCAGAGCGCTTGAGTTGCCTCCTTCTCTTTCGAAAAAAAGAACAGCAACAGCAGCAACAATAATAAATAAATAAATAAATAAATAAATAAATAAATAAATAAAAATAATTAATTAATTTGAAATGCGCGCAGAGTTCGACTGGACTTCGTTTTCAAAAGCCGCGCTGCCCTACAGGCCTTCCAAGTCTTATGTACAGACAGTCCAATTCACCACTCGGCAGCAGCTCGCAGTCGCCGGCTACAGACTCGCCCATTTGCTGCACTCCCTATCTTCCACTTTCCCGGACCCCCAGCAGCAGCAGCAGCAGCAGCAGCAGCAGGTGATGCAGCAGCAGCAGCAGCAGGTGATGCAGCAGCAGCAGCAGCAGCAGGTGATGCAGCAGCAGCAGCAGCAGGGGCAGGTGATGCCCCAGCAGCAGCAGCAGGGGCAGGTGATGCAGCAGCAGCAGCAGCAGCAGGGGCAGGTGATGCAGCAGCAGCAGCAGCAGCAGGGGCAGGTGATGCAGCAGCAGGAGCTGGCGGAGTTGCTGTTTTCTTATGGAGGAGCTGAGGCTGGGGAGCTCGGTGCTGCAGCAGAGGGCTCGGGAGTTTCCCAGGCAGCAGCAGCAGCAGCAGCAAAGTTTTTTCAAAATTTGAAAACAGAAAAAGAAAAAGAAATGGAGACACAAAAGCTGAGCAGCAGCAGCAGCAGCAGCAGCAGCAAAACAAACAAAACACAGGGGCCCCCATCAAGTCCCAAACAAATTCCTCTTGTGGTCAAAATGGCTTTTGAAAAACAGCCAGGGGGCCCCCCAGCCCCCCAACGGGGGGAGCCAGAGGGGGCCCCCCTGGGCCCTGGGGGCCCCCCGCAGCGGGGGGGGGCCCCAGAGCTTGGGGGGCCCCCCGGGGGCCCCTGGGGCCCCCCGGGGGCCCCCGGGGGCCCCTGGGGGCCCCTCTATAGCGAGGGGCCCCGCAGAGCTGCCCGGCGTTTGCCGAAAGAGATTGGGGCCCTTGGGGGGGAGTTGGGGGCGCATGCAGGGGGCCCCGTGGTGACAGTTACGGAATTGTGAAAGAAATGGCACTTTAGGGTTTTTTTGGCGGGGATTGGAGGCTTTGTTGAGGTGTATAGACAGCTGAGGCGCTGGGCCAGCGGGAGTTCAAAAAGAATCAAAAAATCCGAAATTCAGAAAATCAAAAATGACGAATTTGGGGCTGCGGCGCAGCGCAGTGTTTGTGGGCAGTCTGTTCAGGTGTATGTACAGACACTGACTTTGGAGGCTGCTCCGGAGCTGCAAATTTGAGACAAAGTGGCGGCATTATTATTATTATGTGAATTAAGATTTAGAAAACAAATATATTTCGAAAGAAGGGCGGGGAAGGAGAAAAAAAGGAGTTTCCGGAAAAGTTTGCATGTTTCGGACGAGAGGAAAAGTGTTTCCGCCGCGCAAACGGGTCGCTGCGCATGCAAAAGTCTTTCCGCTGTGTCTTTTTTGCATTTCTTTGGAAAATAAATTCGTTTTTATGTATTTGAGTGCAAAATTAAACTAATTCGGGCTTGCGGAGCGCGCGCGCTCCACTGCGGTGTACGTACACCCCATTGTTGCGCGGTGTACGTACACCCCAGTTCTGCTGCGGTGTACGTACACCCCGCAGCGCTGCGCACGCGCACTGTACGTACGCGCAACGAAATGGCTTTTAGTTTGCTTCTTTTGTTGACATAAAGGACACAGATAGCTTTTTTAGTGCGCAGAGAAGGGCCAGAAGCTCAGTCCGATGTTGCGTGGGCAATATTTCATGTCTTAGGCGAAAAATGGCTCCAAAAGACTCACAAGATCGCACTTTTAGGCCTGTTTGTGTTTGCATGCATCTACTTAGACTGTGGATCTGCTCATTTTGCATTATTAGTCCGCATTCGTCTTAAATTCGCTCCGTGGATTTTATTTTCCATAAAATGTTTTCGTCGCCTTCGCGGACGCGCACACTGCCGGCCTGCGCCTCTGCGGTGTACGTACACTCGAATTTTCGCCGGCGCTTCGCCGCATTTTCCAAACTTTTCATTTCTTTGTTTTCACTGCTTTGGAGTTGCAGACGCGATGTACATACACCCAGCATGTGGACGGGTGTCTATATAAATGTATGGGCAATACATTTCAAATATCGATTTTATATAATATATATATATATACAAATATATATATATATATATGTATATATATATATACATATATATGTATTTATGGATTTATGTGTTGTTATATGTTTATTACATAAGTATATTGAAGCATTCTCATGGGGCCCAAGGCCTCAAAAGGCATTTGTTTTGCTTAAGGCCTTTTGTCTTTTATTTTCTTTACAGTGAATTCTCTTTGGATTTTTGGTCTGCGCTAAGTCCTCCAGTCAACAACTTACTAGAAGGACTCATTAAATGATTTATTATTTCTAAACTTTGCTTATTCACAAGGAGTTGAGCTGCTGCGGTAGTGCTGCTGCTGCTGTCTGCTGCTTGAGCACCTCAGGGCGTGGGACTTCCTCCTGTAGCCAACGCAACAAGCCACCACAGCTAGCTGCAGCTAGCTAGCTGCAGCTAGCTCCCACCACAGCTAGCTGCAGGTAGCTGCAGCTAGCTCCCACCACAGCTAGCTGCAGCTAGCTGCAGCTGGCTCCCACCACAGCTAGCTGCAGCTAGCTGCAGCTAGCTGTGGTGGGACTTCCTGCTGCAGCCAGCGCAACAAACCACCACAGCTAGCTGGCCACTGTGGGGGCTTTCTGTGGCAGCTTAAGCTTAAGCAGCTTATTGGGGTTTAGCACTGGCGATCCGGAGGGGGTCAAAGCAACAGCTGTGACGGAGTCAAAAAGACTTTCGAACTTGATTTCTTTTTTAAGGCCCGTAACTTCGCACTTTGCTTTTCTGGAGGCTCCCCAGAGGCTTCTCGAGTGAAAAGAGGAACCTTTAGAAATTCACTTTGTCAAATTCGGATGAGCAGCAGGCCATTTGGCCTTATTGATGGGCCGTTTTTCGCTTATTGACTATATAAATGCATATATATATATATATTACATATATATATATATATATATATATATATGTGCATGCATTTTCGTGTATATGCAGATGCCCAAATATATGTATTCATGTTCTGCTATTCTTGGCTGGAAGCATCCAGAATTGCTGCGAGGCGCCGCTCCCAGCAGCACAAAAGCTGTTAACTGCAGCACAAGTTAGAGTACGAGCCTGGCGGAGGAAGTGGTGGGACTGAGCGGGGGGCCCCCACTCTTTAAACTCCCCTTAGGGGCCCCTGCTTGCGAGTCTTTTAGCCCCTGGGGGCCCCCTGGGTGGGAAGGCGACTTTATTGAAAAGCCCCAGTCCACTGCATGCATGCGCTGCTGTGGCTCTGAATGACAATGGCAGCAGCTGCGCTGCGAGGGGCCCTCGGGCGCAGCTCTTCTGGTTTGCTTCTTGCTGAGGAAGACAGCAGCAAGAGAGCGAGAGGCCCAAAAGGGTCTTAAAATATGCCCCTTGTCCACACTGAGGCCCCTGGAGACTCGCTAGCTATAAAAAATAATAACATGAAGGGGATCTCGGCATTAGAATTCGATTAAAATATTTATCTTAATGCATAATAATAATCTAATATCGATAATATAATAGTATGTGTGTTACCGCGCAAGGTGCAGAAGCTCAAGCTGCGCAGCCGAACTAAAAAATGCCACTCACCCTACAGTTATGAACAATAACTTGCAAGGAAGACACATTCACCCAAAGGCCTGCAAAGATCTTAAGCCTTGAAGCAGAAAATGGGCCACTGCAGCAGAAAGACTATTGAACAGCAAAGAGTCTTAGCCGCAAATAAATGCAAAAGGAGCAGCCAGTATTAATGAGAAAAATCGAAAATCAAAAAATCAAATTGAGCAGCAACTCCAGCCTCTGGGAACGGTCTTAGAGTTGCTGCTGCTGCACTTCTCCTTCAGCGGCGGACAGTGAAGGAGAATTTCTTAGCGAGGATATGTTGGGAACGAAAACTGAAAATGGCACTTCGAAGTACTTCGCTTTTAAGTATGAAGGTGAAGGGGTCTGGAGGGCTTTTCGAGGTCTTCAAGAAATCTGTCTCAGTAAAATATAGGCTTTAGATAGCCTGGAGCTTGAGCTTATTAAGTATTCAAGGTAATCTGCTTTGCTGCAATGGATCTATTTTGAAGACACCGCAAATGTGTGCAACTGGGAGCTGGTGACTCAAGGGCCCCACATCAGGTTTTTTGCAGTATCAACTTAAGGTGCTAAAAGAGCAGCTGCATGCAATATAGTGATTTGAAGGCTACAGAGAGTACACAGCACAGTTTGCTGCCCGCAGTGTAGTTACACTGACGGGACAACAGTCAAAGCCTCTGCTGTGCAAACTTCCCTTGCGCCTTAGGTTTGCAGCAGGAAATGCAGCAGCAGCAGCAGTAGCTGCAGCAGAAGCAGCATCGGCATATTAGTTGCTGTGCGTTTTATTTCCTCAAGAAGCAGATGAGCCTTGTCCTTCAAATAACCGCCAGTGGCTGCAGCAGCAGCTGCAGACGCAGCAGCTAGCAACAGCAGCAAACGCGAAAAGGAAAACGATGGAGCTGTCACAGTATTCATCAGCAAGCCCTAGGGCAACAGGCTGCGTATCTACAGCGTATCAACAGGAGTAACGCTTCTGCGAGGCCTTGACCCTTTTGCAGGCAACTATCTTCCTTCATTATTCATCTTGACTTAGTTTTAAAGATTCAGCTGGCATATAAGGAATGCGGGAGCTAATATATGGGGCAGATGGTGTGGTATAAGTGCAGTGTGCATTAGAGAAGAAGGGAAAAAGAGGAAAACCAGGCAAAGGCTGAGGCAGAAAAGGCATACGGCCTGCTGCCGAGACAGGCCGCCTTCATAGTTGCAGAGGAGAATTAAAATTCTTAGGTGAACCTTATCGGAGTAGAAGTTTAACGAAAAGATAAACTTGCAAGCCAAACAGCTAGCAAGGCAGGAGCTCATGCATCACTTCAATGGACTTTTGCAGGGAATAAAGTCTCTCAGCGACTCTCTCCAAAGTGGAGAGAAGAGCCTTCTTAGCGCACTCTGAAGTACCGCAGGGATAAGTACTCTGTGTGATTCTTGTGAAAAACAAAATAGCTCGAAAAAGACTCAGGGTGGTGCCCGAAAGAGGCCAAATACACACCCTAAGCCAAGTTGGAATGCACTTCGCTTGGTGAGGAGGCGGAAGCCAATAAATGCGGGAAGTGGCTCAAGTGAAGAGCTCGACATTTCACACCAAGACCTGTCCCTGCTGAATCTGCACCCTTTAAACTGCTGCCAAATTGCCCCCAAGTCCACTAGGTCTCCCTGCTGCCTGGCAAGTTTACAAGAAAGCTTTTTTTCTTCATGATCACTTTCCAGATCAACTTTAACAAACAGGATGCAGCTAAGCTGTGTACGGATCCTGGGGGCAGGCCAAGGTTGGTGTACTGCAGTCAATGCGCATGCAAAACATTCTGCAATCATTTTGCATGCTACATATGGAAGCAGCTGAGCTGTGGCAGCTGCTCAGGCCATTACGCCGGCCGTCTTCTTGAAAGCAGCCTGTCCTTGTTCGCAACTAGATTTGATTTTACTTTTTCAAGGTTTACTTTTGCTGCATCAGTGCACGCAACATTAGCAGCGACCAGCCCTTGTTTGTAGCTAAACTTGTTCCTACTTCAAGCTTTACCTTTGCTGCATCGAAGGGCATTTAAAACGCCGCAAAACCCCAAAGAGAACATAAGACTAGAAAAGTCCGCAAGCCTCCCTCCGTGGGCTTTTGCTGTCTTGGGTAAAAGCCCTATTTCTTAATTCAAGCCAAGCATTCCTCTCAAATCCTTTTTTGAGTTCATGTTTAAGGTGGAATGCTGCAGTGCAAACTTGCAGAGGTAAACAGACTTAGTGGGGATTCAAAAAATCCGGAATATATAAAAGCTCTCTGCACTTTAAAACTCCAGCATATGTAAAAAGAAGATCTCCCCAAAGTTGTTTTTCATTCACAGCGCCCCAAGACACTCTGGTAAATTCAATCCAGTTTGCCTCCCGCGTGCTTCTCTTTTCTGGTTCCAGCGGCTCACACCTAGCACTCTTCACCAAGAGAGACAATTAATATTATTATGAATCCAATCTTCATTCAAATGATCACTAATTTAAGAACAAGTGCATGCACATTTCCCCGGGAAACTGGACCTGGCCGCCGAAGGCCGGAGGCCCTTTGCGCGGCGGCGAGTAATTTCTTTTTCCTTTTTATGCCAATCTACACATTCTGAATTTTATATGACCCCGAAGTTCATTTTGTATTTACAGTGCTCTGTGGAGGCCTCCAGCTTCAGGCCCGTGCACCAGCACTTTGGTTTCGTTTTGTTTTTCAAGAATGCCGTGACCCAACATGCATTATTTGATATTTGAATATTTATTTATTGCTTCTTGTCTCCCCTCGAGATATATCATTCTCATTATTATTCTGCGCTTTTTCCAGCAAAGAACCTGGCGGAAGTCTGAGCCCTTGCTCTTGCAGAGAAAAAGAATTAAATGAGATTTACAGAATTTCACATAACGCAAATTCCAAATTATGTAACCAAAGAAACAAACTGCTGCAGCGGCTGGCGCTGTGGCCTCTTTTCAATTGGCACTTTTGTGCAGAAATTGAAACAGACAAAAATGAATTCAAAGCGCATGCAGGGCCCTTTGCAAGTGCCTGCAAGAAGAGGCCTGCAGCAGCGGGGCTGCGGAGTGTCGAATTAATTGCGAATTTCACTTTTTGAAACAAAAGAAATATTCTTTGAAGCAAAACAAATATTTGGCTGAGTCCCCAAGGCCGTTTTAAAGCAGCCCCAGAGAAGCCAAAAGTGCTCCCTTCAAAGCTGAGGGTCTCGGCCTTTTTTTTTAATAATATTCTTATTTCAATTTGAAGCAAAGAGGCCAGCTAGTGATTGCCCCTCAGCAGTTTGCTGCAGCGCGCAGCAGCAGCAGCAGCAGCAGCTGCGCCACCTGCTGCAGCACTTTCTACACTTTTAACTGCAAAGGCCCCAGCTCGCGCTTTGATGCTGAAGGACTAAAAGTCAAGAAGAAGGTAAGGCAGCAGCAGCACTGCGGCCCTCGGGAAGCTTTGCTGCAGTGCAGCTGCTGCTGCAGCAAAGGCTTTTGCTGCCACTGAGGCAGCTCCCGCTGGGGCCCCCGTTGCTGCAGCAGCAGCAGCTTTTTCGTGCGAAGTGGGCCCTGGGCCCAGAGCTTGGCAGCAGCAGCAGCTGCAGCAGCAGCAGCACACAGCGCTGCTGCTGCAGCAGTGTTCTGTTTGCAAGCCCCTAGGGGCAGCAAGGCTTGAGCAGCAGCAGCAGCAGCAGCAGCAGCAGCAGCAGGAGTTTGCTGCTGAGGGCTGCGCAGCAGCTGGGAACCGTTGGTGCTGCTGCGCACACTTGTGTGTGCAGCTTCTTCCCCTCGGGGCTTTCTTGCTGCCTGAGGAGTGTGAAACGAAGTGGCAGCTGTTGCAGTTAAAAAGTTTGAAATAAATAAATGAAATGCGGGAGTTGTGGAGGCTTTTGCGCGGCGAGTTGGGGTGTATGTACAGCTGGAAACGGCAGCAGCAGCGAACAGACACGGCGGCGGCTTCGGCGCTGCTGCAGCCGCTGGCTGCTGTCTTGTGCTTGAACTAGAGAGTTAAAAGAGTTGGGAGAAATGTATTAAAGCAAAAAGAGAGAAAAGTAGGAGTTTTGGGGAGTTGCTGCAGCGGCGTTGCTGCTGAGTGCCTTGGTCAACAGCCCAGCCCCCCGCTGGCAGCACAGGTGCAGCAGCAGCAGCAGCAGCAGCAGCAGCAGCTGGTGTTGCAGCAGCGCTCTCTTTATCTCTTTTTCGAGTCCTTAGCCCTCGTTTTTGCTGCGCGAGTTAACTGGAGGGTGTTGTGTTGTTTTGGTGCTGCTGCAGCGGCGGTTTCTGCGCCAACTTCGCCGTGCGCAGGTGTATGTACACCTCAGCTCCAGCAGTTCCATGGCGTTACTTCCTATTTGCTGCTGCCACTTCATTTGAATTTGTTGGGCTTTTCTTTTCGTTTTTTCTTTTTTTTGACTTTCTCCCCCAGCTGTACGTACACCTCAGCCCCTTTTCCCGCCTTCCCCCCGCGATCTGGGGGGCCCCGCGGCTTACTGCGGATGCGGCAGGGGGCCCCTGAGCCTCTGGGGGCCCCTCGGAGGCGTTTTGCTGCTGCGGAGCAGCAGCAGTTCTGCGGGGGGGGCTTGAGTCTGGGGTGTACGTACACCTCGCTGCAGCGCCGCCTGCTGCGCGCCCCGCCCTTCCTCCTTCACTTCTTTTTCTTTTTCTTTTTCTGCTGCGGCCCCCATGGACGCGGAGGCTTCTGGGGGGCCCCTTCGCTCCCCGGAGGAGGGCAGCAGCAGGACTGCGGGGGCCTCTCCGCCTTCGGAGCAGCACAGTGACGGGCTCAGCAGCAGCAGCAGCAGCAGCAACACCAGCAGCAGCAGACACAGCAGCAGCAGCAGCAGACACGGCAGCAGCAGCAGCAGACACAGGTGCAGCAGCCTCGACGGCCGCTACTGGCAGGTCGGCAACGCCAAGGACGCCGACGGCAGGCGCCGCTCCCGCCGCCAGCAGCAGCAGCAGCAGCAGCAGCAGCAGCAGCAGCAGCAGCAGCAGCAGCAGCAGCAGGAGGCTGAGGGCACCACCCACTACGGCAGCTCCGTCTCTGCATGCAGCCCCGAGGGCCCCAGCACTCCCGACGACGTTTCCGTCAGCAGCAGAAGCAAACGCAACGGCTCCTCGCGGCAGCAGCAGCAGCAGCAGCAGCAGCTGCAGCAGCAGCAGCTGCTGCTGCTGGGCAGGCAGCGGAGCCGCAGCTGCGGCAGGTTCGAACCCAAGGCGTCCGAGTCGGAGCGAGAGCAGCAGCAGCAGCAGCAGCAGAAGCAGCAGCAGCAGCAGCAGAAGCAGCAGCAGGCTGAGGAACCGCGGGGGCTCCATAGGTCATGGGCGGTCAGGAACCCACCCAAGAGACTGGGAGAGGAAGTTGCTGCAGCAGCAGCAGCAGCAGCAGCAACAGCAGCAGAGCAGCAGCATCCGGCAGCAGATGCAGAAGAGCGATATCGTACGCGGAGTGCCCGGCTGCAGCAGCAGCAACAGCAGCAGCAGCAGCAGCAGCAGCAAGGCCCGCAGCGTCAGCTTTCCCTACGTCAGCAGGCGTTGCGGACGCGGCAGCAGCAGCAGCAGCAGCAGCAGCTGCAGCAGCAGCTAGAGCAGCAGGAAGAAGAGGAGCAGCAGCAGCAGGAGCAGCAGCAGCCGCAGGAGGACGAAGGCGAGGGCGACGATGAGGAGCAAGCAGCAGCAGCAGCAGCAGCAGCAGCAGCAGGAACTCGGTACAGCTTGAGGGCCAAGAGAAGCAGAAGAGAAATCTTTCATGCAGATCTTCTGGCCAAGAAAAGCTACAAACCCTTGTCTGCTGCTGCTGCTGCTGCTGCTGCTGCTGCTGGGCGGAGACCCAGAGACGGCAGCACGGGCGAGGGGCTGCTGCTGGACGGCGAGGACAGCGCAGCAGAAGGAACTGACACAGCAGCAGCAGCAGCAGCAGCAGCAGCAGCAGCAGCAGCAGCAGGGGAGGACGTGAAGGTGTGCAGCGAGTCGGAAGACGACTTGCTGCTGTCGGACGGGGAAACTGCGGCTGCGGCGGAGGCTGCAGCAGCAGCAGCAGCAGCAGCAGCAGCAGCAGCAGCAGGAGCAGCAGCAAGCAGCAGCCAGTGGAGACGCCGCGGGGGCCCCGGGAGGCCCCGGCTGCACCCCCTAGGCCTCCGCGGCAGCAGCAGCAGCAGCTATTCAGTTCCTGTAACTTCTGCGCTGCAGGACTTTCGACAAAAGATCTACAAAGACCCCAAAGTCGTCGAGTTTGCTGCTCCCTTCATGTCCGCTGCTGCTGCTGCTGCTGCTGCTGCTGCTGCTGCTGCTGCTGCTGTGTCTGTTGCTGGATGCTGCTGCTGCTGCTGCTGCTGCTGCTGCTGCTGCTGCTGCTGCTGCTGCGGCTGTGGCTGGCTGCTGCGGCGCGTGCTCGTGCTGTGGCTGCTGCTGTTTTTGCTGCTGTTGCTGCTGCTGCTGCTGCTGCGGCTGTGGCTGGCTGCTGCGGCGCGTGCTCGTGCTGCGGCTGCTGCTGTTTTTGCTGCTGTTGCTGCTGCTGCTGCTGCTGCTGCTGCTGGTGAACAGCTGGGCTAGGTTATTAGGGTTTAGGCTCTAGGGTTTAGGGTTTAGGGTTTAGGGTTTGGGGTTTGCTTTGAGTGCAGCCATTTCTACCTGCCCGTGCTGCTGCTGAGCAGCAGAAGGCAGCAGCAGCGAGCTGCTGCTTACACGGAGGTTTATTTGAAGAGCAAGGCCTCTTTCCAGGACCACATGCTGCAGCTGCAGCAGCAGCAGCAGCAGCAGCAGCTGCAGCTGCAGCAGGAGCAGGAAGAGGGGCAGCAGCAGCAGCAGCAGCAGCCGCAGCAGCAAGACGAGCAGCAGCAGCAGCGGCAGGAGGGCGAGAGCAGCGACGAGAGCGAGGACGCAGACGGCGCAGCAGCAGAAGCAGCAGCAGCAGCAGCAGCAGCAGGACCTGCAGCAGCAGCAGCAGCAGCAGCAGCAGCAGGAAAGCCTTCCATCCAAGTAGCAAGGAAAGCAGCACGGAGGGGCCCCCGCCGGCGCTTTCGCCGCGGGGGGCCCCTGGGGGCCCCCCGCCCGGGGCCCCCCCTGGTTTCGTATGGGCGGCAGCAGTTTGCTGCTGCAGCAGCAGCAGCAGCAGCAGCAGCAGACACAGAAGCCCGGGGGCGGGTCTTCTGCGGCTTCGATGACGACAGCAGAGTTGAAATATTTTCGTACCCTCCTTGGGGGCCCCCGGGGGCCCCCGGGGGCCCCCGGGGGGCCCCCTGGGGGCCCCGTGCTGCAGTACCCTTTCCGGGGGCCCCCTGGGGGCCCCTCTTGGCTGAGGGGCGGCCGCAGGAAGTTGCAGCAGCTTTGGGTCTTTTGCGAGAGCAGCAGAGGACCAAGCTGATCCAGGTAAACCCTAAACCCTAAACCCTAAACCCTAAACCCTAAACCCTAAACCCTAGGTCGTGGAAGCTGAACACTTCTGCGCCGCGAAGCCTAGAAAAAAACGAGCTCTCACCTGCTGCTGCTGCTGCTGCTGCTGCTGCTCTTGGCGCTGCTGCCGTCACCTTTGTGCGCGGGTTTAGGGTTTAGGGTTTAGGGTTTAGGGTTTAGGGTTTAGGGTTTGTGGTTGGCTGCTTAGGGTCTTTCCGTGTCTGCTGCGCGGCTATGGGCCTCAGCAGCAGCACTAAAGGGGGCCCCATCTGTAGCTCGTGCTGTTGCTGCTACGAGCAGCAGCAGCTTCTGGGATTCTCCAGCAGGTTGCAGGTTGCAGCAGCAGCAGCAGCAGCAGCAGCAGCAGCGGGTGCTGCTGCTGCTGCTGCTGCGTCACGGAAAACGGCTACCGGCGCCTGCGCCGCCGTCTTGCTGCTTCCTGCTGCAGCGCGCAGCAGCAGCTGCAGCAGCTGCTGCTGCTGCTGCCTCCTGCAGCGCTGCTGCAGGGCGGGCTGCCCCACAGAAGGCCAAAAGTGGGGGGCCCCCCCCGGGGGCCCCCCGCGATTGAGGGTGCAGCAAAAGCGACTGAAGAGGGTTCAGCAGCAGCAGCAGCAGCTGCTGCTGCTGCTGCTGCTGCAGCAGCAGCAGACGGGCAGCAGCAGCCTGAGCGGCCCGTTCTTTTTTTCAATTCACAGACTTTTGGGGTGTATAGACCCCAAGAGGGATTTGCTGCTGGGGCCCCAGAAGCAGCAGCAGCAGCAGCAGCAGCAGCAGCAGCAGCAGCAGGCTGGAAGAAGCCAGCAGCTTCTTGGCATTTGCTGCGGCGGCTTGCTGCTGAGGCCCCCGAGGGGCCCCTGCCTCGGGGCCCTGCTTGGCGGCTGTCTTGGGGCGAGGCAGAAGCTGCTGCTGCTGCTGCTGCTGCTGCTGCTGCTGGCGCTTCGGGGAGCAGCAGTACAGGTGCAGCAGCAGCAGCAGCAGCAGCAGCAGCAGGCACGAAGAGCCAGCCCGGGTCTGCTGCTGCTGCTGCTGCCGCCGCAGCGGCAGCAGCAGGTGCGCGGGACTGGCAGCAGCAGCGCAAGCATGAGAAGCAGCAGCTGCTGCCGCCGCCGCCGCCAGAGGGGCCCCCCCTGGGGGCCCCCCTGGGGGCCCCCGGGGGGGCCCCCCTGGGGGCCCCCCGGGGGGCCCCCCGGGGGGCCCCCGGGGGGCCCCCGTTTGGTTTATCTGCAGATTATGAAGAAGTTTATAAAGCCATTTGGGAAGGCCGAGGGGCCTATTTGGTACCTTCGCTGCAGCAGCACAGCAGCAAGGTTTGCTGCTGGCTAGATGAGGCGCAGCAGCGGAAGAAGAGCCGCGAGGAAGCAGCAGCAGCAGCCGCAGCTGCTGCTGCAGCGGCTGCTGCTGCCGGCAGCGCGGAGGGCGCCGCAGCAGCGGCCTCCGCTGCTGCTGCTGCTGCTGCAGCAGCAGCAGCAGCAAAAAAGAGAAGCCTCAACTTCAAGGGGGCCCCCCTGCCGAAGCGCCCAGACCCAGAGCACTTCGTGTCTGCGCTGTGGGGCCCCCCGCGGCAGCAGGAGCAGCACAGGGAGCAGCAGCAGCAGCAGCAGCAGCAGCAGCTGCAGCACAGCAAGCAGCTGTCAGGGACTTCCAAGAAGAGAAAGCTGCTGCAGCACAGCCTCAAACAGCCTGCGCAGCCGCCGCCGCAGCAGCAGCAGCAGCAGCAGCAGCTCGGCGACCAAAGCTCAAACCCGCAGGCTGCTGCTGCTGCTGGGCTCAAGACATCCGCGGAGCAGCAGCAGCAGCAGCAGCAGCAGCAGCAGCAGGAGTCCCAGCAGCAGGGAGAGTCTGACTCCGCTTCTGCCGCAGCAGGCGCTGCATCCTCCGCCCCGCCTGCAGCAGCAGCGCCAGCAGCAGCAGCAGCAGCACCAGCTGCAGCAGCAGCGCCAGGAGCCGCAGCAGCAGCACCCGCAGCAGCAGCAAAGAAGTCCCCGTTTGCCCAGGTCGATGCTTTGCTGCAGCTGCTGCGGGCTGAGCGCGTGGCTCTGGATTGTGCCTCTCTGGGGGGCCCCCCAGGGGGCCCCTCAGGGGCCCCCCCTGGGGGGGCCCCTGCTGCTGGAGGGGGGGCCCCCGGGGGGGGGGCCCCAGGGGGGGGGGCCCCCCCCCC